CGAAAAGCCTTTCAATACCCGCCGCCGCGTCAACTGGGAGTTGTGTAAAGCCGTCTATAATGAAGATATGGACCGAAAGATTAAGTTAGTTATGCGAACCAATCGCTTACAGAAAGACCCGGCCGTTCACCTGTAGGGGCCCCGTGTCGTAGGGCTGGACGTGTGACCTGTGCCGCGCTGGTGGACACCCGACTCACTACTGGCCGCTCATTGGCTCAAATTTAGGGTTAATATATTTGATTTTTAAATGTAATACTGTTTATATATTTTGATGAATAATTAGCTGTGAATTAATTAACGGTTTAATTAGTGTTTAATTCAATAAAATTATAATTAAAACACAATTTGTGATTAAGTGTTTGAAAAAACGATTTTTATTGTTAAGTCATTGAAAGTGAGGCCAAAAGTTTTACAAAACTTTTATACAAAATATGTGTCAATAGATGTGAGTTTTGTCAACACTTTATGTTTTGTAATGCTTTTGATTCAAAAGTTCAAAAGTTTTGACTCAATATTAGCACATGTTTTGTGACCACAAATATAATTCATTCAAACAGTCATTGCATTTGATCCCAAGATATGGCAGGAAAGAGGAAACACACGAAGACATCAGACGTTACCGCAGATGACAGCTATGAAGACAACAAACAAAAGGTATTTCAGTAATAATTTCACAACAATTAAGTGTTAATTGAGTTTTTATCTCACATTTTAGCCACAAATCTATGCGAAGGACTCAATGGACAGATTCGGTGATGATTTGTGTCAACTCTTGTTATCCTATCTGACACTCGCAGACCGTTTTGCCACCGAATGTGTGTCTAAACAGTTAAGGAGGACTGTCTTCGCGAGTGTTGTGGACATCACTCTTGACGACAAACTCATTAGTAAAACACAGGGAAAGGAATCGATAGAAGACTTTAATAATATCATAACTTTAAGCCATATATCGCTGCAAACAATTGCCAAAAAGTGTGCAAACATTGCGACCATTGACTGCACAGGAATGGTATTGTCTGACAAACACAGTCCCGAAGTGTTGGGCATATTTCGATACAATTGCCGGCATTTACAGGAAATTTACTGCAAATTATTATCGTATCAATTGTTCCCATCGTTTGGATCTCTAATCACACGAATCTATTGTATGGATTCACCGAAGAGTCAGTCACTCATTCAATTGCACCGATTGTCTCAATTACATGCCTTCGAGTTGTCCGACGCCTTCGACATCACTTCCGGACAGTTATTGGCGAAGAATTTACGCAAATTTTCATATATTCGTGAATCAATTTATAATAGTCAACAGTTGTCCGCATTTGTGGCACACAATCAGTCGCTTAAAAGTCTTGGCCTAAGAACTCATGAAACAGATACTAACGAAACGCGGACCGAAATGTGCGGACAATTGTCACGATTAACGCAATTACGGGAATTATCGATATATTTTGTGCTAACGAATGGTCACAACTCATTGAACGCGTGTTTGCGTACAATTGGCTTAAACTGCAAACAATTGCGCCGATTGTCACTCGCGTTGCACTCAACTGATCCCCAACTCTATGGCAATACAATGGATTCGTTGAGAGTTTATTCCCGATTAAAACGATTGGATTTATTAATACTTGAAAGTATTGACGAGAAACTGTTGGAACCGTTAAAACTCTGCCACCGATTAACGCATTTAACACTCGATATACAGCAAATGAGTGATAAATTACTGGATAATTGCGGTAACCATTGGCCACGACTTCAATACCTAACCATCAGATCCGATGCAATCACTGCAGAGTGTTTGGTTAATATCTCGAGACTACCGGCGCTGCAGACACTAGACATCCGATGCCGTCATAGCATTGATCTCTTGGATAATGATTTCTATGATCTGTTGTCGAGAAGTCCTAAACTAAAGGACATTAAAATCATTGAAAAATATGTTAAGAAGTATTATTGTAAGAAAAGTGTAGTAAATGTTTAGTTTAATTACTATTTAACTCATATAATAGCAAACAATTTGATAAACATTTCATAATTAATCGAAACTTATGCGATATTATTGTCATTTTTATGCTTTTCAACCAAAGTATTATTAAATAATAAAATAAAACTTTTATAATTAAAACACAATTTGTGATTAAGTGTTGAAAAAACGATTTTTATTGTTAAATACTTTTTAAATCTATTTAATGGTTTGGTTTTTCAATAATCAAAACAACGATTCAATCAATCAATCAAACAATTAATTAAAAAAACTTTTTAACAAATATTTAATTTGTAAAAACATTAATCAAATGAGAGAAACACTTAACACTCGATGTAAATGTATAGGAAAAATATCAATACATGTGTTTCATTATGGTTGAGAGGTGTGGGAGGGCTGACAGGAGAGGGGGCCCCCGTGGAGGACAGGGAGGGGCCAGTAATCGTAAATGCGATGACAATTTGAATGAATGAGAATTTACGAGAGAAAAAACATGAATGACTTTTACAACAAATGGTATCTAAAACTCGCAGTGATTTAAACGCTATTTATATTAAACATAATATATTTATCAATCAATTAATGTCTTAATTATTTTTTAGCCACAGTTTCGGGCGAATCGATGGTTAATATCAACGATAATAATAATAATGAGAATAAAAGTATACAATATTCGGGGCCAAGAGTTTTCTCAATACATGCTAATAGAGTGGCCAACAAAACAGATACACCGCGAAAACAGTGGCCAATAAAAACAGCGGTCAAATCACTTGACCTTCGGCTTCCAGTGCAGACATTTGGGATCAATTAGTTTGGGATTCTTGCGATGCTTCTTGAGCTTCGCCCGGAACTCGTCGAGGATCTCCTTCTGGGTGAGCACCAGATGCTTACCCTTCCAGTACTTCAACATTCCCATCGACTGGAGGGTCGACACGATGTCGTAGGCGTTGATACCGGTCTGTGAGCTAACGTCTGGTGTGTCAACAAAACAAACATCGGATTAAAAACTATCACTTTTGGGATCAAATGAAAAACAACTCACTTTTAATGGATATATCTTTGGCCTCGTAGGAGGACAGGTACTCGAGTATCACTTTCTTCCAGTAACTCCTGTACGATATGAGTCCCAAATCGGACAACGGCTTCTCCGGTGAGCCCACTTTGCCCTCCGTTTTGGTCAACAGATAACCTGCGAACAGAGAATACAGACAAAGACACGGATCAGTTAAACGAGACAATCATCACACCATCGGCGGTACAATCACTCACTGAAATCAATTAACATCCGGCCGTAGCCCTGTCTTTGATACGGAGGTAGTGTTAAAATACATGACACGTTATACGATAGGAATGACTGTTTCTCCTGCGGATAATGGGATCAATTAGAAGATCAAAACACAGACAACAAATCAAAAAGCATACAAAGAGTACATACTTTCGAGAAGTAGCCGACGATAT